TATTACCTAACAATAGCATTTTGTGTTATTGCATTTTTAATTTAGTAATAACATTATGGGTGGTAAAAGTTGAATCAGTTGAATGGTGCAGCCTAAACAACCTAGTTCTATTTAGTTAAATTCTAAAATGTCAGTAAAACAAAAAAAACTTGTGACAGACTTTAGAAGAGGCAAAGGAGCACTGTCACCACTGTACATGGTTAGGCTGTAGAGGTGGTGGGGAGGTTCCCAGGTACTGTACCACCTCCAACACATCCACCATGGTCAAGAAATCTCACAAGAGGCTGTTCTTTCTGAGAGAGGAGAAGAAGTGTGGTGTATCACAAGAAGCAATGACCTGTTTTACAGACCTGTCATTGAGAGTATTTTGACCTTCTCCATCACTGTGTGGTATTGCAACACTTCATCCCAGGACAAATAGCAGCTTGAGAGCGCAGTGTAGGAAACCACCATCCCTCTGTGGAGTCACTCTACGTCTCTAGACTGAAACCCAAAGTTGTAAAGTTCCTCATTGACCATTCCCACTCTGCCCAGCAGCCATATCACTTAAACGTACAACTCAAAACTGGCAACCCACTGAAGCTCAGCAGATGCGAGCCTGGTCAGTACCTGGATTGGAGACCTCCTGGGAAAAACTAAGGTTGCTGCTGGAAGTTAGTAGGACCAGCAGAGGGCGCTCACCTTGCAGAATATGTGGGTCCTAATGCGCCAGTATAGTGACAGGGACACTCTACTGTAAAAACGCACCATCCTACAGATGTAAAACTGAGGTCCTGACTCTATGTGGTCATTAAAAGCCTCAGGATGTTTCACGAAAAGAGGGGTGTTACCCCGGCGTCCTGGCCAAACTTCCCATTGACCTTTACCAATCTTGCACTCCTAATAATCCCCATTTATGAACTGGGTTCATCACTCTGTTCCCCACTGTTAGCTGATGTGTGGTGAGCGTGCTGGTGCTCTTTGGCTGGCATCTCATCATCCAGGTGGGGCTGCACATTGGTGGTGGGGGAGGGGAGTGCCCGTTACCTGTAAAGCGCTTTGAGTGGAGTGTCCAGAAAGCACTATATAAGCGTAAGCAATTATTATTATTATTGATAGTTATTGCCCAACCTCTGTTTACTGTCCTTCCTTCTGGTAAGTGGCTAAGGTCTGTCAAAACAAGGACTGTTAGTTTTTTTTAACAACACCTACCTAGAGACTGAGAGATAAACTCTGCACTTTAATTCTGATATTTTTGCAGGTTCATTGTTATTATATCAGGACTCACTTCTATTTATTTATATTGTATGTCTTTAATTGTCTGAGTTCACCAAACCAAATTCTCTGCAAACAGTTGTTGTGACAATAAAGTGTTGTACTTGAACTTGATAGTTAAGACAGGAATAGGCTTGAAAATAAATTAGACATTTCATATACAGTACATATGAAAACAGTTCAATATTTTCAGTGTTTATAATCTACATCAACAATATATTGGAAATAAATCCACCACTTCAATACACCTTCGTTTTATAATGATTCAGTTTCTTCACAAGCCACGAGTGACTCCCTCTGGCGGACAAATTTTGCATATTTTCCTGATTTTACTTCAATACTGTAGTTCTTTGTTCGTTTCCAATATATCTACCTACCAATGGGTAGTCTAAAAACTACGAACCACCTTCTAAGGATTGAATTTTAGCATCGTATTTTATAAACCTTTTACGTTGACAAAGTTAAGCAGAATAGCAGGAATTTTTTGAGGAATTTCTAAACCTATAGTTTCTGACAAAATAACTTTGAATTCCGATTCTCAGGACTGTAATTTAATTCATCCAATTTTAGAAAAAAAAACTTGCTTTTCATTTAACATGTAGCATAGAATCCACTGAATGTATCTGCATCGACGTTTCAAGAAGAGTGCTAAGATGTATAAATATAATAACTACTAACTTTCTTTATTCCATAAGAATATTTGAACTGGTGGATATTCTACGTGGTTTAACCAAGGTTAAAAAATAGCTGTTTTAACCAATTTGCGTTAGATAGTTGGTTATTATTTTTAGAGCACTGAAGAACTGCAAAATTGCCGGGAACCAAACATATCTGGCTTTCAGTACAAATTAAAAAGGCACAGTCTTCGCAGAGTTTGACCTTTATTTCAATCTCATCTACATTGTGGCTGTTGGGAGTGGCCCTAGGAAACTGTCCAAGATCATTCTGAGGAGCCTGGGGTTGCAGCTCAGAAAGTCTGTACAATATGTTCATACGAAGGTAATTTGCCACAATATAGTATTTCGACACTGTAAAGCGCACTATTCACCAAGACTTTAGTTATGCGTCCGTGCATAGAATATGTACTGTATGCAAAGAATGTGGTAGAAGTGTTTACTCATGTCCCTCAGATGAGCATTGAACATTAATGCATTTTCTTAAAAATAAATCACTGTGATTGGCACCACGTCGACAGCTCAAATAGCTGACAATACCAACGAATGCACAAAACAGTTTATACAAATATTCACAACTGTTTCTCACACAATAAAATTGATTGGATTTGGAATTTTAATACATATTGTCTTTTACAGATAGAACGATGGGGAGGAATAAAAATGTTACTGACATTTAACAAAAAAAAAACATTTTAGTAACGTCTTAAAACTCAGAAACATAGGTTACATGATAAAATATCGTAACTCACTTCTGGGTGATTGATGTGAGAAGCATTATTGTGCGCGGTTCAAATTTCACAGCAGTCCTGCCCTATGAAATGCTGTTTTACTATCCAAAAATAAATCCATGTGATATAATCAAATCAATTATTAAGGAATCGCTAACACATTGAGAGGATTCTGTGTTGATTTGAATAATAACCGAACACATTACCTAGCTAGAGCGATGAATTTCTGCCTTGCAAGCATTATCTGTCATTCCTTCGCGGATGATGGCTGACGTTTCACAGTTGTGAAGGCTCTGAACGAAACAGCTCAACTAGGAATTCACAGATGTAACCCTGTCGCTGAAAATAGGCAGTACGCTTTTCATGGGGCGTCCCTGTTACTAGCAAATACACCAGTGCTAAAGTTGAAATTACTAAAGAAGGCAGATCTGAGAATGAGGAGTGATAAAAAGCTGGACAATAATCTCATAAAAAACTGAAAGCTGAAGCGGTTTACTTCGATTTGTTTTTCCTTTCAATTGAAAAGAAATTATTCCCTTTTAAAGAAGAGAGAACAGAACCGCTCGTGAGCAATTTCTGTTGATTAAAGGAAAAATAACTGCGGTTTATTGTGTATTAATACCAAGGATCACCAAGGACAAATATTAAAGAAAAATAGCATTTACGCTAAACGGTACCACCGAAAAAGATGCACTTCCGTGGCTGATATCTTCTATAAATCGCTGGCTGAATGCATTCGGAAATTATTTGCACGGTGACCTTTGTGTTTTGTAAAAAACCTTTGATCAGCGATAACTTGTTTAAGGGGATTTTCCTTCGTCGTACCAGAGGTTGTTACCAATGAAAGATTTATTTTAAAGTTCCGTGCTAACAGGACTCTAGTTATGCAGTAGTGTGTACTGTAAGTCTACTTTGATGGTGAACCTTAGCGCTTCTGTTGAAGAAGTACGGATCATTAGATATCGGATTAACCGTTATTTTCAAGTTTCTCATATATTCTCATCTATTTTCTCAACTATTTCAATTCAATAGTTTATCATTTCATTTTGTATTGCTTAAAATACAATTATTTCCATATTTATACATTTTTTAGATGCCTTTCACGAGAAAATGTATTTTCACCACTCCCACTATGAATCTCTATTAATAGCCTGTCAGTTTTGAATTTGTGCGCTTATCGCAACATTCTTATTGTAAAGAATATAGTGTACGGTCGAGCGGAATGTGCATAAAAGTTATATGTCTAACAGTACGTGACATCCCGGTGCCTAAATGATAACATTTGACTACTAATTGTCAAGGCCAAGATAAATATTATTTTTTTATGGTTATCGAGTTTTGCATAAACCGTGGAAGGATGGGCTGCGCAATATCTGGACTGGGTCTGGCACCAAAGCAGATAGATGCTACAGAAGAGGAAGCTCTTCCACACTTAAGTGATCATCACATCGAACAGATCAAAGACTCCTGGAAAGTGATACAAGAAGATATCGCCAAAGTTGGGATAATAATGTTTGTCAGGTACGTGGTTATTGCCTTTTCAATCCGGTTACTCACTTTCTGCCACAGAGTCACGTTTTATCTTACCACTTGCAAGTGTCGGTTGTTTAGAGAGCACATAAAGCACATCCACGAATCTCGGCTACAAATTTATACAAATATGTAAACTGGTTTATAACAATAGTTTCAGCAAATAAACGTCGCTTGAAGCACGAAGCACAGGCTTCGTGTTTCGACCCGGATTAATATTAAAACCAAGGACTATTTAGGAAAATGAACCCAAACTGCTCAACTGTACCAACAATGAACTGTACAGTATATTCAGCTGCAGTATGTTGCGAGAGACACGGTAGTTAGCTACAGTATATATAAAATATATAGTTTCTTTAACCTTGGAATCAAGGATTTACAACAATTTACTACACGTACAGTATAGTAAATTTACCTCTTAACCTTTTTTCTTCTCTATACTATATATCAGTGGGATTCAAGACTATTGTTTGCAAACCAGCAAAACGCTGTGCAGCCAGTAATCTACCTGCAGTTAGCGACTTGGAAATAGTACAGGTTTTTCGTTGTGTAAACGTCCCCGCAGTTTAAAAAACAGGATGCAGTAAAAACACCTGCTGAGTATTCACGTACAGTACACAGCTCAGGGTGTCGCTGGATGTCTCTACATTTATCAATTGATTATTAACTATAATCACTATGAATAACAACACCTGGGGCAAATGGGTTACGTATAATATCGCTGGGTGATCAAAATCTAACCTACTGTTGATATAAATTGCATAATTCAATATTAAATATTGTAACGCAACGGGGGCTCAGGCGGGCGCCCTTGCCGCATCTGGTCGGCCCCTGCACCGTCCGGGGCTCGAACCCGGGACTTCCGCGTCTCTCTGCAGCGACCTAGCCCCGTGAGCCAAAGAGAGATCTCTCCACAGCCCAGTAGCTGTGGTCCTGCTATCACAGGGAAGGGCGGTGACGTCACCCGCTCTGGTACGCCGGCTCTTACACAGCGCCTGTCGGCCGTAAGCGTTACAATATGGTGGTAGGTAGAATAAGGGTAACCTGCTAGGAAGGGCTTTGTGAAATAAATATAGTGTTCAGGTTTCCTGTGAAATGTTGACTTATTACAAAAACTGGATTATTGGCTACAATTGGCATGTCTACAACATATTAGACAAGGACTTAAGAGTACATTCATGTACTCCCTTCAGGCACCCTGATTTCAAGACTGTGATGTGTACATTTTCTACTGTAATGCCAGACCAATAATTCTGTCATTTTGTTTTGCAATGTGTCTTCAATCATCCGTTAGAGCAGTGGTTCCCAATCCTGGTCCTGGTGGATTTTGTTCCAGCTGAGCCTTCAGTTACACAATGAAACCTTTCATTGACTTGATAATAATAAGATTAATTACAGCTGTTTGTTCCTAACTCTTAAACATGCTGTAGCACTTACTGTTGTACTTTGTAAGTGGAAAAAAAAAACATACTTGTGACTAGAAAGAAAAATGCACATATTCAACTGAAGCAACTACTTAGATCAAGTAGAGCTTCAAGTATCTAATTTAAGGTGGGGTGAAATGAAAAACAGCAGGTGTGTGGATCATCTAGACCAGGATTGCCAACCACTGAACTTGAAATTGTACCCCAAACCTAAGTACATGTTGCCATAAGGAAGTACTGCATATATTGGAGATACCCACAAGCTCAGATATTTAGTTGTCATTTCCTTTTAAACCACTAGGAAAATTCTTAATTTTCACTAAGCCGTTTAAGATTGGGCATGTTTTTTTTTTTTAATTCAATTAGAAGTGATGGAGGTATTTCATTTTACCTCAAGCATTCACAAAGGTTTAGGGGTTTCTTGCACATTCATTCATTATTTAATGACCTGGTCCCATCAGTTGTTCAAATTAAGGTTAAGTAGTTTTGATCCTAAGACAAAACTACCATAAAATTATTTTACTATCAGTGTCAACCCAAAAGCTTAGGTAAAACTGAAGTTAATAAAGAACAGGTTAGTAATGGACTTTGACTGCTGATTTACACCACTCCATGCTATTAGAATTTGGTGTCACACTGACTCCAAGATTGATTACACTAGCGCTCCCAGTATGGAGAGACTCGTTTTCTCATTCCTGTGATTCACCAGTACACGTTCCTCAGGACAGGCCTATTATATTGGTATAAATTGATAACAACATACACATACATCACCTTCAACCTTCCTTATCCCACTCTGTCTGTCTGTGCTAACCCAGCTATTCTGTGCACCTTGATTAAAATGATACATAACCCAGCTATCCTGTGCATAAAATACTAAGGATAAATCACTGGCTTTTGAAAAACTGTAAACATAAAGGCCTTTTCTTTATTTGAGTTCTGAGTAAGTGCTCTCAGCTGTAGTGAGATTCACAGGACATTTTCAGTGCAACCTTTTTACATGTGAAATTCTCACTTGATGTGTGAGGATACAGGGAGAAAGCTGTTAGATAGCCCCAAAACACACAGCAGCTGCGCCTCCCCTCAACACATTACAGTACATTTACATTATATAATATGTTAAACAGTACTATTAAGACGATACTGGACACCACTTCTGTGTTTTTGCTTTTTTTAAGGGAAGAAGAATTTCAATTTTTTTATAATATGCCAAGGATATATATGGTTTTCCTCACCTCCAAAATTCACCACAGAAACTGAAGTACAATATTTCTTTACTGAAGACAGGTATTCTTCATACATTGTCTGGTAAATTGAACAACCCATTCGGAAAAATAATGTTAAATTACATTCACATTTGATTTAATTTAATGAATTTATAGGATTTCTGCTTGATTCACTTCAAACAAACTGTATGTTTTGGAACACTGTCCACTAAGAAGCAATAAAATTGGTCACACACAAAAATGGGATGATGAGGAAAATATTCCCATGCTCAATGATACTACAGACACCAGGGAGACATGCTGGTGATTTTATGGGAATGCACTAAATACTCTCTAGTGGATACCAGTGGTATTTTTGCCCTCTGGCAAGTTTATCCACAAGAACAACTTTGCCATGTCCTTATTTGTATGTGTGCCACATTTCACTACTACACTCACTGTTTTTCGTGATACAATTGTTAGAGATGGCCGACTGGCATTATACTGTAAGTGTCCTGTACAGTATATGAAAAGAAATGTTTTTGTACTTGTGTGTAATTCGTTATCTTCCTTTTTATGTGCTCTTGTGTTAGTATTCTGATCGATTCTGAGTTATTAGTGGTTATGCTGTCATTTGTCTTTGTAATTTTTGCAGCCTCAGGGTCTAGTGGAGTATTTCTTTCAGTTAATGCAAAGAACACTTAGTGGTGGAACACATCTGTTTAAAGCATGCTTGGAAGAGTAATGCTTTACAATTGATTGTGTGTATCTAAGCCAGAAAGACATTTATTGAAGTAATTTTTGTGGTGTATGTAATGTGACATAATGACATCTATTCTAAGCCAAAATACCAAAAACCCTTATCACATATAATATGATTTGAATCATCTAAGTGGATGAAGATATAAAATAATCCAGCACTAATGGTAAATCAAAAGGCTATACAGTAGAGACAAAACAGTAACTCAAACTTTCACCCTTAATTAGGCCTTCAATACCAGCTGGTCAGCTTATACAAATATATGTGTTTCATACCCTTTTTGCAGTCATTAGTGACACAGCTCTGGCTTCTCTTTAAGCTGATGCAAGTAAAGCAAGAAGACTTTTATGCCTTGTTCCACCTTTGATTGTTCTTGAACTCCTAATACTGTAAATCATTATTACACTACAAAGACTATATTACAAACATATTTTGACCCAGTGGTTAAGATACACGTCACTAGGCTGCAACCTGTGGCATTTCTTCAGAATGGCTTAAACATGCAAGCAATATCTCACACTATTTCAATGTAGTTGTAAAACCTTTTGATCCCTGGATTTTCAAAAATAATAATAATAATAATAATAATAATTGGTTACACTCAAAGCGCGTTGCAGATAATGGGGACTCCCCTCCACCACCACCGATGTGCAGCATCTACCTGGATGATGCAACCGCAGCCATACGAGCTAATGAGACCCTTAGAACAATTATTTTTCTTGGCTAAAGTTGGAATTATAATACAGTAAATGTAAAGGCAGTTTTGTCATACAAATTCTGAAAAGCCCTCACCAAAACAAACAAAAAAACAGACTATTTGCAATGCTGCAGGCTTCAATGGTATTTAGAAAAAGATTTGTCCTGATTTGTATAACCACTGATGTAAACCCTCAAAAGTGATTTAGTTTAAATGTAATTAGGACAAAAGGTCTGGGCCAGTTAACGTACAAACCCAGCTGTCTGTGTGCGATACTTTTCAACCAGTAGAATTGATTGTTGCTCAGTTGCCAGAAGGCTGCTATATACAGTAGCTATTAGAGAAGGCAGGAAATCGTTCACTGTCCAGTCAGAGAGGATTATATCAGTGGTAATTTGATTTGATGAGGCAGATTTATGGCAAAATAAGCCCTCTGCTGAATAAAACATGAATTTCTATCATAACAGCAGTCTCCCAAATACAGCAAACAAACAAATTGTCAACTCTGAAACATTAAGCTCTAGGACCCAAATTCTGCCAATGGGTGTTGGAAAAACTGGATCATTCAAAAGCCACATAAACAAGATAAGAGAATTATATCTTTCCTTTACTGTTTTGACAGCAAAAAGAGAAAAAATGTTAGCAGCAAGTAATTTAGTAATTTAATGAGCTAGTACTTATACTGAGTTGTGCCAGGGCAGATTGTCATTAAAATATTGCACACAATACAGTATTTCCTCTTTTTAAAAGATAAGAAAATTTGCTTTGTAGCTCCTTTAAATCTTAGAGGTTTGCTGGTACAAAAAAACACTGTCCACATGACCCAAACAGACAGGTCATGTTTTCAACATTTCAACATTTACCACCACATTGTTTACACCTGTTTTTAATCCTGAGAGACATTG